GGAGGCTGTTTCGTCCTAAAACGTCCCTTATAATAAATCCAGGAAATGTTGTTATGGATACTCCGAATCAAAACATGCCGAGAGTGAAAAGTTGGCAAGTAAGGGCAGTCAGCATATGTCAGGGCATGTGTTCTTGGCTTGCTCTCACTCAAGTTTGACAGAACGGTATTTAATAATCTTCCTAGCCTCTCCATGCATAAGAATATGGCTGTCGTAGAATTTCGAAAACATTTGCTAAAATATATTTGAATTCAATAGCAAACAAGGAATGTCCATCCACCTCTCAACCTTTCCTACGCCAATGTATTGGCTGTATTGATATCGTTCTAGCAGTCCCATGAGTTCAACTTAACCCCTCCGCTGGCTATAAAAACGTTACTCTTAAAGATTTCTCAGAATATAGTGATTCATTCATGCAGTATTCATACCTTTTCCCTTGTTCGGTTGTGATTCCAGTATTTTGACTGAATGCTAAATATTGGAGTGACTGCCTTTCACATCTCTTTCCCCTACTTCCTGAATTTTCACGGGCCCACGGTTATTTCAAACACTGTGCAAATTAAATACATACAAATAATCTTTCTCCTAGAAAAGTATCAGTGCTATTTTGGAACCTATCCGTTCGTAATAACTGGAAATTATTTTTCCCAGAATACCTGTACCTTCGCAGAGCTGGGTTTCCAGCTGGGGACCCAGAAATTCGTCAAAAAGGTGACAGGATAACGGTCTGTTTACCCAAAATTAATCTAGGTCTGGCATTTTACTAGACTTGGTAATGTTCTGTCTTATTATTTTTTTTATCTGTTTCCCCATTTAAAAGCAGAGATCCGAACTTGCGCCACTAATGGGTAAACTTATTTAGAGAGACCTTTTGGATTTTGGCTGCATACCCAGGATGCTGATAGGACAAGTTCCTGAACTCGTCCTATATCTAGAATTTTTCTAATAATTATCGGCATTTATCTATCTTATCTATCCAATAAATATTCAACGATCAAAGACTTTCCCACTTCTGGGAAAATACATTTCAGATTACATAATTTTCTCTAGTGCTACAGCAAATCACAGCCCATATAAATCTACCGCCAGAAAACATACTTTGACGCATCAAGATTGCAGCTACGATAATACCAACAGCATACTAAGGCCCAAGATCAAAGGCTGGCCCAGTTCTTGGAAACATATTTCCTGGACCTATTGATTGTTAGGAGGCCGGCCTGTGCAATATGTCCGACAGATGGTGATTATCGAGAGTACCTATATCCACCACAGCTGTGTGTATTTTCAACCCTACACCTGACAGCGGCGGAGAAATTATGCCCGCCATAACTATGCTTTATATAAATAAAACTCCCTCCGCTGACTTTCCCTAAGGAACTGCCTGTACAGAGACGCTCGTTAAAACCAAGCAAACGCCGCGTTCACCCCCGACTAATTGCTGTCATAGCGCTGGCATCTCTATAAGTTGCGGTCAAAGGGGTACGATCTAGCACAGTCCACTGACAGCGTCGAGTGCACTTCGTGAAAGCAAATGACCATGTACATGCAACCATTAAAACACCGAGCATGACAATCATATCTTAATTTCTACTCACATTAATATCAGAACAATTATTCAGACAATTCAGGAAGATATACTATATGCCAGTTACGAAGAAGCTAAAAATAGCAAACTGCAATGTGATATACAGAGTCGATCCACGTTAATAACATGAAACGCCAGAGGGAATTATAAAAAACATCAGAATACTAACCGTCCAGCATTGCTTTGTTGTCTATGTCTTCTATCTCTCCAGAAGATGACGCCTGTAGAAAATAAACAACTGTTAGAGTAATAAAATCCTGACCTCGCGAAATCTACTCCGACACAGACGGAGTTTTAATCCATGTTAGCAGCATAGGACGAAAACCTCGATGCAAATAAACAGGAATATAAATGTGTCTGTAATTTCCAATTCTGCTCTGTGCAAGATAGATACTTTTCAGAAAAAAATCGATACGTTTAGTTTCACCGTGTATATTATAATGCTGTGACTCACTTTCTACTCACCATCCACTACGCTGGGGCGGCAGTGGAGACGGTGAACTGAGGGGCGCGTTCCTACTTTGCAGACGACTGATTTTTTCACCTTCGCGATGTTCACACTGCGGCTGCGCGCCATCACCTGCCCGATGGGGCTACGGTAATAATTCTGCCTTTTCAGCCTTTTTTCTCGACCTNCGACCTCAGGAATGATGCGCACTTAAGCTGTGCTGTTCGACATCATAGATGACTCATATTTTAAATGTATGGTAATGTAAATCAGAGTCATAACGTATTACATTGCATAAGATCTCCCGCAGGGCATGCACGACTCCTAAATCATATACATGTCTTTGTGCATGTAGCATATTGCCAAAATGCCATGTCTCTTAGTGCATTTTTGCTTTCCAGCCAAACAAAATGATGGACAAAATAACATATAACGCTAATAAAAGGGGAAAAACGTTGGTACACAATTTCAGAGCCATTACGTCTTGAGTCATCCGTGCATGTATCGCTTTAGAGAATGTCTGATAACATCTGATAATATATTTTAACACTTGATGTATGCGTTCCCTAAGCTCGCTTTTTATTCATCAGATTCGAAAGAAGTTAGACATATACTGAATAAAATGTTGAAGGCCTAGATATTTATATTTTTTTAATATCACTCATCGGGTTTAATGTTCCCTTGAGTTTTCAACGCAGTCCTATATTATAGTCCTGTGTGTTTTGCAATTAGGCATTTTACTCGTAACGTTCAGCGCAATAAAAACCAACAAGAGTCCAATACACGTGGATAAATAATTAAAATCTGTTACTGTACACCGCCTACTGTTGTTAAAAGAATATCTATGTCATGCCATTAGCGTTTATCAGAGGAATTGCCTTACAGATAATTACCATTTTAATGGTTTACTATGACGTGCCTAAAATACGCAACTTTCGGTAAAATTAAACATAAAGAGTTATCGTGCCTTATACATGTATATTCTAGCAGCTGAGTCTCACAAAGTCCTATCCCAGACGCCTGAACATATCTTCACTGCCACAATCACATATTTCAGGACCTACAGTCAATTTGTCAGTTTTCATTCAATCCACGTGGACTCGTCTTTTTCACTTGGTACTCAAATGTTTGTTTGTTTGTTTGTTTTTTTCTTTTTCATTTTACGTGAAAAAATTTAAGCAGGTATTAGAGCAAAACAACCGTATGTGTAAATATCTAGATGCAGCTCATTCAAGGATCTCTCTAGATCTGCTGAATAATTAAAAAAAATCAATGTTTAGATTAAAATTATTCAACTCATTATTCCTTACAATAACCTTCATCTCTCCAGTGTAAATGGAAATGTGTATGCCTTTGTGTTTGTTCACGATATCAAATCGTCGATGAACGAACCCTTTATATTGTTGGTACGACGCTGCGGGCGTAAAATGCTCATTAAATTTGTAACATGAATTCCCAGTGGGATTCCACGATAATAATTTATCAGTGCACGCATATTTGTTTGTCACATAAGACATCCCTATTAAACAAATCATTGTTTCGTCCATTTGGTATACCATCAAAATTGTTATCTGACATACGGCGGAGTGTACGTTTACCCTCACTTCGAATGACAGACGTCACATATAATCGTTCCAAGTTTGATTAATTATGACCGACATGGCCCTAAAAGTTGTAAAGTAATAAAGCATATAATTTAAGATTTAATTTTTTTCTACACGGCATGGTATATTATTGACTTGTTTTTATGAAGAATTACAAATATCTGATAATAAATGACAAATAATAGTCTTTATTATCTACTTCTGATATCTTAACTTGTGCTCAGTTATTAAAACGTCGAACCTCTCTCTCTCTTTATTTTAATTATTTATTGAAGGCTCAATTTTTTTCTTAGGGATATTAAATGTATACATGACTGGGAAACAACTCATCATACAATAACAATACTTGACTATTATATAAAGTTTAAAGAACTTTTATATACGTAATGACTACAAGTTCGAATACTGTAGTTCTGAAAACGTGCACCTGTTTAATATATGATTCATGTGTTACATGTGTGCTATCCATGGCAAGGTTTTAGGGAATACGTATAACACGTCTACTGTCACATCCTTTGGAATACTTAGAAAGTTTTAGCATACACGTAGATGTTAGCGTAAAAAGGAAAACAGCGAAAAGAATTTATCCAAATAGATAATAATCAGTTAAAGGATAATGACAGAGATCGTTGGTGGAAATCACGAAAATGCAGCAGACAGATACATGTACATCTACAACCTACATTTGATATTTGCGGCTAACTGTACTACATGGTGGCGAAACTTGAGATAAAATTAATGCTGTTTTTATCCAAAGAGATTAGACCTTCCATGTCTTGAGAAAAATTGGCATGGTTTCAGGAGAAATATGTTTCTGTGCTTTGGTTCTCTAAAAAGGATCTGATGACTAAGAGCGCCTCCAGATGCGATGCTAACATAACACATTACGTAAACAGATACTGTGTCAGAAATTAATCAAAAATTTCTGAAAATACTGTTCTGTCTCTCATACATGAATGGAAGAAATACAAAAGCAACACCTGGAAGGATTTTACCTAGAACGGAATTTTACCGCCTTAACTGTTATTAACGGACATCAGGTACTAAAAAAAAACGTGTCAGCTTTTTTGTCGGTTGGCAAGGGTCACATAACATATAAAGTTATGTAATACACCTACATCTAAATTACTCTTTCCCTACATTTATATGCTTGGTCGACCCGCTTTACTCTTTGGCTAAAGATTGTTATGGAAACTTGAGGCAATGATTCAACTTCTACACTGTACTAAGGTGAGGTTAATTAAGTATACGTAAAAAAGAGGAAGCAAAATCCATACACGTACATGTACAGGAATGTCCAAACCCAAGCTTAGCCGTTAAAAACTGACCATTTTAGGGCAAACATTCAGTTTTTCAAATGCTTTCAGTTTATGCCAAGCTGCTTTTCTGTTAATTCGATAACGTCCATTAGTGCATGTGAACTATTGCGCATAGCACTTTGCAGTTTTGTTAATTGAATTTGCATCGTCGACATTTCTCTCTGAACGGCTAGAAGCCGGTTGTATATCTGTAGAGGGGAAATTGGCGCTTCGTTGTCGTGGTCCTCTGCTGGCACAGCGCACTCTATAGGTGTTGCTTCACACTTGGCAATAGTGTCCTCCACCATGATAACTGGCATTTCAGCATGCTTGGACGATGCTCCATCTTTGGCTTTTTCTTCTGAATGAATCGACGTGTTGACGCCGTTAACAGGAATAGCGATTTCAACTTCAGAATATTTAATATCCTCATTGTCGCTTCTAACTGGTTTGACTTCATTTTCAGGCTCTGTAGCTTTTGGTTCTAAAGTATTCTCAGTGATCGCTTCAGATGGGACAATACTGGCTGGCTCAGTCGGACCGGTTTGAATTTCCGCGGGCTCGTCTGTAAGGGTAGCTTCCTGTTCTACCTCCTCTTCTACAGGAACCTGAGGAACTGCTACGTCATCTGTGGTATCTGCTGCTACCTTCTTGTCCTCTTCCGATATCGTCACCGGGGCACTCTTTCCATCTATAGTTTCGGAAGACTCGGTAATAATACATTCTTTCTCTTCAGCGCTATCATCTACAACTGAACTGGGTAAGTGTTCTCCGTCTGTTGCAATCTGCCCTTCTGGTTTACTTTGCTTCGCCTCTTGCTCACCATTAGATGTGATCTCCATATTTGTTTCTAAAATTGCGGCTTCGGAATGCTCATTGAGGTCTACTAACCGGTTTCTTATTATTTCAGAGGTTGCTGGGGTTTCTTTTGTTGTCGGTCCTGGACTTGCTGGCGTAGAATCGGAATCGACCGCTTCTTGTCTTACTAGCTGAGGGGCCTGAATTTCGGTAGTCTGCTTCTGTGGTGTAACCACGGAATCAGAGTGCTCGTTTTGTTTAACTTCACCTGGCGTAGGGTCCACCTGCTGCGCCACCTCTGTTGGATCAATATTCATCTTAGTATGTTCATCATCTGGTACATTGCGTTCTTCTTGGTTTTTCTCAACAGCTGGAGTCGAAGCCGACTCACCTGTTGCAACGAAGGCATCCGCTGGCGCAGCACCAGCGGCACTCGTCTCCACTTCATTTAATGCTTCCATTTCGTTTGGTGGCTGGATTTCTGCCTCTGTTACCAGGTTGGCGTTTTCCATTTTGTTTGGTTGTTCATACTCAGACCCTAATTCGAGATTAGTGTTTTCTGTAGAACTTGATTTCGGAGCTCCTTCATCCTGGTCCTTGACGTTTTGTCCTAGTGCCGCTGCCATTGTTGCTGCTTGAACTGTCAAGTCTTCTAATTGTTTCAAAGACCGTATTAATTCTTCTTCTGCGACCTTGGATCTGTTTTCACTACTGTCTCCCGAATCATCCTTCTGCATATTTATTTTATCATCGGCACTTGTTTCAGTCGCATCAGTGAAATTGCCGGGCTGTTTTGCTGTCTCTCCTACTTTGGTTTCATCTTCCGTAGTTTCGTCTTTTGTCTGTCCGCTGTCCTGCTCATCTTTCGTTAGCTTTTCTTCTGTAACTACTTTCTCTGCCTCTGTGTCTGTTGTGTGACTTACTTCTGTGACTTCAGTCACTTGTTGCTTATCAGATGATTGAGAAACGGTCTCTTCGGATTCAGTGTCCAATGGGACCTCTTTAAAATCGTTGTCTTTTTGTTCCTCTTTAATGTCATTTTGACTCTCTAATTGAATGTTTTCATCTGCAGTTGAAACAGGTGCTGCAGCACCGATGTTTTCTTGTTTTTCAATGGGGATGGGGATTTGTTCTGTCTCTTTCTCGGATACATTTTCAGGTACTATTTCTACATCTCTTTTATCACTTTCATTATTTGTCGATTCAACAGCTGGAATGTTTGTTTCACAGGTGTTGTTATTTATTGCAGAGGACACACCAGATTGTTCTGCTTCGGAATAATCAGGAATTCTGTCCGAATCTTCTATGATCTCTAGCTTTTCCAACTCCTCTTCACGATCAGAAGGCACACTTTCCGAAGATAAAGAAATCCCTTCGGCTTGCATTTCTAACTTGTCTTGGTCTTCGGTTGTTAAAACCTCTTTCAAAACTTCTTTTTCTTCTGCAGCTGGTTTTTCTTTCGGTGGCGCTTTCTGGGGAGCCAGTGCGTTAAGGCTATTAGCGGGGGTTATCCGCGGAGAACCTCCTGCAGCTTTAGTACTAGCACATGTACCCATATTTTTATGGATCGCTTC